AAGATCGTGCCACTGCACTACTCCAGCCCCTGGGTGACAGAGCGAGACTCTGCCTCAAAAAAAAAAAAAAAAGATAAAAAGATAAAAATGGTGCACCTATACAGGGCACTTATCATGAATGGAGCTTGCAGGATTGGAAGAAGTTGCTCTGGGTGAGTCAGTGAGTGATGAGTGAATGTGAAGGCCGAGGACATTACTATACACTCTCTTAGACTAAATACTGTACAATTAGGCTACATTTAAATTATTTTTAAAATTTTTTCTTCAATAATAGATTAATTTTAGTATACTGTAACTTTTTACTTTACGAACTTTTTAATTTTTTAACTTTTTGAGTTTTTTATAACACAGTTTAAAACACACATTGTAGGCCGGGTGCGGTGGCTCACGCCTGTAATCCCAGCACTTTGGGAGGCCGAGGCAGGCGGATCACAAGGTCAGGAGATCGAGACCACAGTGAAACCCCGTCTCTACTAAAAATACAAAAAAAATTAGCCGGGCACGGTGGCAGGCGCCTGTAGTCCCAGCTACTCAGGAGGCTGAGGCAGGAGAATGGCGTGAACCCGGGAGGCGGAGCTTGCAGTGAGCCGAGATCACGCCACTGCACTCCAGCCTGGGCGACAGAGCGAGACTCCGTCTCAAAAACAAAAACAAAAACAAAAACAAAAACAAAAACCACACACATTGTACAGCTGTACAAAAATATTTTCTATTTTTATATTCTTATTCTCAAGCTTTTTTCTATTAAGAAAATGTTTAAAACTTTCTAGACATTCTTTTAAAAAATGAAGAACAAATGCCACAGGAGTCTAGGCCTGCAGAGGGGCAGGATAATCAATATCACTGTCCTCCACCTCCATGTCTCATCCCACTGGAAAATCTTCAGGGGCAGTAACGTGCATGGAGCTTTCACCTCCTGTGATAACAATGCCTGCTTCTGGACACCTCCTGAAGGAACCGCCTGAGCCTGTTTTACAGTTAACTTTATTTTTTCATAAGTAGAAGGAGTACATTCTAAAATAACAATAAAAAGTAGGGCAAATACATAAACCAGTAACATAGTCACTCATTATCATTATCAAGTATTATGCACCATCCATTACTGCAGGTGCTAGGCTTTCACAGGATTGGCAGTGCAGTAGGTTTGTTTACACCAGCATCACCACAAACACAAGAGTAACGCATTGCTCTACGATGTTACAATGGCTATGACATCACTAAGTGATAGGAATTTTTTGGCCCCATTATAATTGTATGGGACCACTGTCATATATGTGGTCCACTGTTGACTGAAGCATTGTTATGTGGTACATGACTGTATGTTTATGTAGTTATGACACGGCCACAAAAACACGTCGGTCGCTGGAGCAGATGTTTGAGAAACATAAAATTATAAAGATGAACATGATTTCAAAAATATTTCCTTCCTCTATTGCAATAGAAAAGCACATGTCTGGAGACATATGGTGGCTCATGCCTGGAATCTCAGCACTTTGGAAGGCCAAGGTGAGCAGACTGTTTGAGCCCAGTTCAAGATCAGCCTGGGCAACATGGTGAAACCCTGTCTAATAAAAATACAAAAAATAGTCAGGAGCTATGGCACGTGCCTGTGGTCCCAGCTACTTAGGAGGCTGAAATGGAGGATGGCTTGAGCCCAGGAGGTGGGGGTTGCAGTGAGCCAAGATCGCACCACTGCACTCCAGCCTGGGTGACAGAGGGAGATCTCATTTCAAAAAAGCAAAGCAAAGCACGAGTCTGGCCCAGTCGGCATGTAATAGTAGAGTCAAAACCACTGGGCTCCAGTAGTTGGAATCACCAGCATTTACTAAAGCACCAAGCTTCACATGCACTAGCTCATTTGTTGCCCCACACCAACGCTACGGAGGGAGAAGGAGGAGCTGGAGAGAAACAGATGTCAATAGGTCTATTCAGTCAACCATTTTGAACTGAAAGACTCACCGTTTAAAACATTTTTCCCCCTTATTACAAAAGTGAATAGGACACTTGGAAATATAAAAACATACAAGAGGCCAGGGTGGTGGCTCATGCCTGTAATCCCAGCACTTTGGGAGGCCTAGGCAGGCAGATCACTTAAGGCCAGGAGTTCAGGACCAGCCTGGCCAACAAAATACAAAACTAGCTAGGTGTGGTGGTACATGCCTGTAATCCCAGCTATAAGCAGGGCTGAGGCACGAGAATCGCTTGAATCTGGGAGGTGGAGGTTGCGGTGAGCCAAGATCGCGCCACTGCACTCCAGCCCGGGTGACAGAGCAAGACTCTGTCTCAAAAAAAAAAAGGGAAAAAAAAATTAAAATTACCCATTGTGATGGTTAATTTTATGTGTCACCTTGGCTCAGCTGTGGTGCCCAGTTGTTAGATCAAACACTAGACTTTGCCGTGAAGTATTTTGTTGATGTCATTAACATTTACGGGCCGGGCGCGGTGGCTCATGCCTGTAATCCCAGCACTTTGGGAGGCCGAGGCGGGTGGATCACGAGGTCAGCAGATCAAGACCATCCTGGCAAACACAGTGAAACCCCGTCTCTACTAAAAATGCAAAAAATTAGCCAGGCGTGGTGGCAAGCGCCTGTAGTCCCAGCTACTTGGGAGGCTGAGGCAGGAGAATGGCGTGAACTCGGGAGGCGGAGCTTGCAGTGAGCCGAGATCACGCCACTGCACTCCAGCCTGGGCAACTGAGCTAGACTCCGTCTCAAAAAAAAAAAAAAATTTACAATCAATTGACTTTAAATAAAGGAGGTTTACTCTCTTTAATGTAGGTGAGCCTAATCTAAGGCCTTAAGAGCAAAAACAGGTTTCTCAATGAAGGAGTTCTGCCTCAAAACTGTAAGATAGAGATCTTGCCTGGGTTTCCAATGGGCTGGCCTGCCATATGAATTTTGAACTTGCCTGCCCCTACAATTGTGTGAGCTAATTTCTAAAAGAAATCTCACTCTCTCTGTCTTTCTCACTAACCTATTGGTTGCTTCTCTCGAAGACCCTGGTTGAAAACACAATCTCATCTGTCAAAGATAATTTCTATTAATATTTTCCCATTCTGCCTATCTTTTTTCCATGTACTTACAGTATATATGTAATTTTTTATATATACACATATATAATTTTATAATTTATATAAGATATATAAATATAAATATATAAAATATTTATATATAATTATACATATAATTTATTATATATTAATTATGTATGTTTCCTATACATAGTTAATATATATACCATCTCTCTCTCTCACATACACATACAAGATTTTTTTGACATGAGAAAAATAGCCACTATATATATATAGTGTATATATATATAGTGTGTGTGTATATATATATATATTTTTTTTTTTTCCCCCACAATGTTGCCTAGGCTGATCTCAAACTCCTAGGCTTAAGCAATCCTCCCATCCAGACTATTACCAATTAGCCAATTACAAACATACCATACATATGTATATATATATTTTATATATACACACATACACATGTAATTATACAAACACATACATTTATACATACATACTAGAATGATCAACTCATTTCACTTTGCCTAGGACATTCCTAGTTTTAGCTCTAAAAGTCCCACATCCCGGGAAACCCCTCAGTCCCAGGCAAACTGTTACGGCTGGTTACAGACACACACACACACACACACACACACCACACATTTCTTTTTTATTTTGAGACAAAGTCTCGCTCTTGTCTCCCAGGATGGAGTGCAGTGGTGCGATTTCGGCTCACCGCAACCTCCGTCTCCCGGGTTCAAGCAATTATCCTGCCTCAGCCTCCCAAGTAGCGGGGATTACAGGTGCCTGCCACCATGCCTGGCTAAGTTTTGTACTTTTAGTAGAGACAGGGTTTCACCAGGTTGGCCAGGCTGGTCTCAAACTCCTCTCCTCAGGTGATCCACCCAACTCGGCCTCCCAAAGTGCTGGGATTACAAGCATGAGCCACCGCGCCCGGCCACCCACACTTCTTAAAAAATAAAATTGTAATCATTTTCTATGTGCTGTTTTAAAACCTAAACTCCTTACTTAAAAATATATTGTGGCCAGGTGGGCATGCCCCTGTAGTTTTCGTATTTTTTTTTTTTTTTTTTTTTGTAGACATGTGGTTTCGCCATTTTGCCCAGGCTGGTCTCAAACTTCTGGGTTCAAGTGACCTGCCAGCCTCTGCCTCTCAAAGTGTTGGGATTACAGGCATGAGGCACCACTCTCAGCCCAGTTCCACTATTTTAAACTGCCTTTGGTTCTAAAATTAATAAAGGCCAAAACAGCATGAAAAAAAAAATCATACACAAAGTGCAGACTGCAGCCCTCAAGGAGAGCCAGGCACTACTTTAATTTACCATTTATTACCAAAGTTATTAAAAGAAAAAGAAAGTCAGGCTGGGTGTGATGGCTCAGACCTGTAATTCCAGCACTTTGGGAGGTGAGGCCAAGGCAGGCAGATCACTTGAGGTCAGGAGTTTGAGACCAGCCTGGTCAACATGGTGAAACCCTGTCTCTACCAAAAATACAAAAATTAGCCAGGTATGGTCATGCACCCCTGTAATCCCAGCTACTCAGGAGGCTGAGGCAGGAGAATCGCTTGAACCCAGGAGGTGGAGGTTACAGTGTGCTGAGATTGCGCCACTGCATTGTAGCCTGGGCAACAGAGTGAGAGTCCGTCTCAAAAAAAAAAAAAAAAGTCCCATTCTCACTTTCAGACACCTGTGCCGCTCTGTTGTGCATGACCGTAGGTGAAGAAACCCAGAAAGAACTGAACTGAGCAACCTCTCTCCATTCTGCCTATAACCACAGGCAAAGTGACTCATTATACTTGAAGAGTCATTAAATCAGCTGGGCACGGTGGCTCATGCCTGTAATCCCAAAACTTTGAGAGGCTGGGATGGGCAGATCACTTGAGCCCAGGAGTTTGGGACCAGGCTGGACAACACAGAAAGACCCTGTCTTGGAAAAAAAAAAAAAAAAGGGCAAAACATTAAATCCTTACCTTTTTAATTCATTTACAATTGATTTATGAACTTCCACTGCGATTTTGCCATCCGAGTGTGTTTTGAGTTCTCGGCATTTGGCACGTAAAATCTCCAGCTGTTCCCTGTTCTCCACCAGCTCCTTTTCCTGGCCCTGGGTTTTCGTCTCCAGGAGCATTAGTTGTTTAGTCAGCTTAGAAACTGAAAATCAAAAGAGAAGGATAAAAACTTGGCACAGAAGACCTCTTAAAACACAATTATTGGCTATTAGGAAATACTAATGAGAGTCAGCTGATAAAAATGACCTTTTAAAGAGCTTCTGAGCTGGGCGTGATGGCTCACACCTGTCCCAGCACTTTGGGAGGCTGAGGCGGGTGGATCACGAGGTCAGGAGTTCAAGACCAGCCTGGTCAAGTTGGTGAAACCCTGTCTCTACTAAAAATACAAAAATTAGTCAGGCGTGGTGGTGGGTGCCTGTAATCCCAGCTACTCAGGAGGCTGAGGCACGAGAATCACTTGAACCCAGGAGGCAAAGGCTGCAGTGAGCTGAGATCACGCCACCGTACTCTAGCCTGGGCAACAGAGTGAGGCTCTGTCTCAGAAAAGAAAAAAAAAAAGATCTTTTGGAGTGTTATAAATTAACACCAAAGGCTTTGTCCTTAGATATTACTGTCCCTACTGGGCGCAGTGACTCATACCTGTAAACCCAGCCCTTTGGGAGGCTGAGGGGAGGATTGCTTGGGGTCAGGAGTTTGAGACCAGCCTGGGTAACAGAGTGAAACCCCATCTCTACATAAAAATTTAAAAATGAGCAGGGCATGGTGACATGCGTCTGTGGTCCCAGATATCCGGGAGGTTGAGGCAGGAGGACTGCTTGAGCCCAGGAGTTCAAGACTATAGTGAGCCGTGACTGGGCCACCGCACTCCAGCCTGGATGACACAGTGAGACCTTGTCTCCAAAAACAAAAACCAAAAAAGCCAAAAGAAATTACTGTCTCTACATTAAGCACTCACTAAATATATCCTTTTAAAAATAAAATCCACTATAATATTTTACCAAAAATGATTCCAGTCTTCAACTAACTGACTTTCCTGAGACTGAAGCCTTAAATCACACACAGGTGTGCAAGCATATGTCATAACATTGTCCCTAAAGCTGCAAGATTTTCAAGATTTTTAAGGACATCAAACATGGCTAAAGAACTGATTTATTATTTTCCTTACCTTTCCTCATTAAACTTTTATTTTATTTCCTGTATCTAAAGTAAGTCATAAATATTTTCATCCTGTGTTACATAGTTGTATGTAATAAGACATTTCCTGAGCATCTGCTGACACTAGCACTTAGAGGTATTTTATTGTAGCATAAAACTGTACATCTCTCTACTCTATGAAAATATCTAATTGGTGACTGGGCATGGTGGCTCACACCTGTAATCCTAGCATTTTGGGAGGCCAAGGTGGGTGGGTCACTTGAGGTCAGGAGTTCAAGACCAGCATGGCCAACATGGTGAAACCCCCTCTACTGAAAATACAAAAATTAGCTGCGAGTGGCGGCACGTGACTGTAATCCCAGTTACCCGGGAGGCTGAGACAGGAGAATCGCTGGAACCTGGAAGGCGGAGGTTGCAGTGAGCCTAGATCACGCCACTCTACTCCAGTCTGGGCAACAGAGTGAGACTGTCTCAAAAAAAGAAAAAAAGAAAAAAGAGAAAATATCTAATTGGTCAAAGTGAATGGCTGTTTCTGGGCAATGGGAAAACAGCACAGGCAACTCACTGGATCATACAGGTCAAAAGGTTTTCCCTACCCCATGTGACCAGAAATCCTCTTTCTGTTCAGATCTGGTATGTTCAAGAAAATTAAGCTCAGTAAATAGGAAACTAATGTCATCCCTAACCCTGAAAACAAAGATAAGAGGCTCCACAACTCTGTTTCCCCTCTCCCCTTAACAATGCCAGAGTAAAGGCAAATACTCCTGGGCCACGCAGCTCTCAGGAGAAATCACGTGGCGGAAACTCCTGTGCACCTCTCTGGGAGATGCTCTCATCTTTAAACACAACCTGGTTCTCAGAAACAGGAAGTGCTAGTCCCGCAACTGCAGCAACAGCAGGGGCTGCTCATGGACCTGCCATGGCGTGGAAGGGGCTGCCATTCCAAAAGCAGCTGGAGAGGGGAAAACCTCCATCTGCTTCTCGGGGCGCCACGGCCTCATGCAAGATGGCTTGTGCTTCAGTTTCCCAGCCTATGCCATTCTTCACTAGGAAAGAAAAATCAGTAAAACAAAGGGAAAAAATGCCACTATCTCTTGTACTCATAAATTGTGGTTTTAAAGCAGAAGTGATGACTCTTAGCCTGGCCTCCTTACAAGTTGTGCACTGTCCCAGACTGTGAAGCTCCTAGGGTTTGGGAGAGTGCATGGGAAGACACGGGAAGAGGGACACTCTCGGAAGGCGTCTGACAGTGATCTAATCTGCAGAGATGTCGCCTCCCGTGCCCGCAGCACTGAAGGAAGGAAGGACACAGGGGAACTGTTTAGAACGTGAACGGTTCTGCTTATTTACTCATCCAACAAACATCTGGGAAGAGACCCTGTGTTATTTCAGATGTTTACCTCGCATGATCTTTCCCATTTCTAAGGTACTATTTTACCCCAAAACCAGTTCTGCTGAGTCTAGCACTATCCCTGCGAGTGATTTACAAACCCATGGGATGATGAGAGACACTGTGGAGTATGAAAAAGCAATCTATGCATTGAGGGTAATGACATGGAAGGGTTATAAACAGCTGCATTTCAGTCAAGAATGTAAAACATGACTTCTCTCATTTTCATTCGGGGCCCCCGGCAGGAGGGAGATAGAAGGGTAAAATGACAATAGTGACATCACTGCATGGCCAGTCCTCGCTGGAAGGACCTCACCTTCTTGGAGGTGCTCCTGGTGGCTGTCCTTGGCTTTCCTTTGCTGAATCTCCAGCTGCTCCAGCAACAACTTGTTTTCCTCTAAAACCAGTTTTGCTTGAGTCTGAAGCTGACGCCTGCAATTGATTTACAAGATGCAATATTGTGATTCAGGTGCTGAATGGTTACAGAAACACTCTGGAATCTAAAAGGAAGCAATGGGTGCATTATAGGTAATGAATATCAAGCCATGTCTCCATGTTAAACATATTAACACAGCAGCAAATCCTGCCATTTGCAGTCAGTTGGGGAAGGACAGCCGCGAGTCTGAATTACGGACTGCTTCAGAAACGCTTTCAGATGTAGAATTTCAAACATGTACAAAAGTAAAGAGGATACAGTAGGAGACTCCCATGTGCACAGCACCCAGCTTGAATAGTCACTAAATGGCTGATGAGGTTTCATATGTATAAACCTCTAGTCCTGCCACCCACTATATTATTCTGAAGCCCATATGGAACATATTTAAAGAAATAGTAAGTTCCCATTTTAATTTTAAAATACTCCTTTGTAATCAGTAGCATATTTGCAAAAAAAAAGACTCTGTTAGCAGGCTTTGAAATGGTTTCTTAGAACTGTATGAATCTGCCCCAGCCTTCCTCTCAAGCACAAGCAAATCCTCTCCTTCCAGTGCAATGTAAACCCCAGCCCAGCTCAGCCCTCAAGATCACAAATTCTGATTAGAAGGAGCTGAAGGGACCTTAGAAATCATCTACTGAAATGTTGACCACCCAAAGTACACTGGGTAGTAAGTTTACTTACTAAAGCAGTAAACAATCTTGATTTTCCACTTGAAACCCTAAAGGTAAGGAGGAGGAAGGAAACAGACAAGATGAAAGGAGTCAGGCTGTAACAATGGTGTGGCCCCAACAGAGGCTGTGCACTGACTGGCTCCTGGGCACTGTGGGGGTGTCTCTTGCCTGCTACCAGCACCCACAGAGTAGGCTGCCATGCTGTCAGGAGGGGACTCACCCAGAACTGGTCTGTGCTAGCCTCCTCATTCCCGCCACAAACTGGGCAGCTCCACGATGGTCTGTTTTATGTTTTAGACTTATTTATCTATTTATTTATTTATTTATTGAGAGATAGGGTCTCATTCTGTTGCCCAGGCTGGAGTGCAGTGGTGAGATCTTGGCCCACTGCAACCTCCACCTCAGCTTCCCGAGTATCTGGGATTACAGGCATGCATCACCACACCAAGCTAATTTTTATATTCATATTTTTTGGTAGAGACAGGGTTTCTCCATGTTGGCCAGCCTGGTCTCGAACTCCTGACCTCAGGTGATCCACCCGCCTCAGCCTCCCAAAGTGCTGGTATCACAGGTGTGAGCCACCGTGCCCGGCTGCGTTTTGGACTAATTTATAAGACTTTTTCTTTATTTGTTCATTCATTCATTTGTTCATTCCTTCCTTCCTCCCTCCCTTCATTCATTTTAGTTTTTATTTTTTAGAAACAAGGTCTTGCTCTGTCACCCAGGCAGGACAGGAGTACAGTGGCACCATCAGAGCTCACTGTAGCCTTGAATTCTTGGGCTTAACAGATCCTCCTGACTAGCTAGGACTACAGGTGCATGCCATCATGCCCAGCTAATTTTTAATTGTTTTGTTTTTGTTTTTGTTTTGTTTTTGAGACAAGGTCTTGTTCTGTCGCCTAGGCTGGTGCACAGTGGTGTGATCATAGCTCACTGCAGCCCCGAACTCCTGGCTTCAAGTGCTTCTCCCACCTCAGCCTCCCAAAGCATTAGGATTACAGGGGTGAACCACTGAGCCCGAGCCATTTCTTTTTAAAATGAAAGGGATTGATCCCTCATTCCTAAAAAAAGTTCAGAATCTCAGATTTGGTTCAACACTCCCTCTTGTTTTGTTTTACTTATTTATTTTATTTTTATTTGAGACAGGGTCTCACTCTGTTGCCCAGGCTGGAGTGCAGTGGCACGATCTTGGCTCACTGCAGCCTCCGCCTCCTGGGTTCAAGTGATTCTCCCGCCTCAGCCTCCCGAGTAGCTGGGATTACAGGCATGCGCCACCATGCCTGGCTAATGTTTATATTTTTAGTAGAGAAGCAGTTCCACCATATTGGCCACGCTGGTCTCAAACTCTTGGCCTCAACTGATCCTCCCGCCTCAACCTCCCAAAGTGCTGGAATTATAGGCATGAGCCACTGCGTCCAGCCTCCCTCTTATTTTATAGAGAAAGAAACAGACCCATTAAGCCTGAGGTTAGCCAGTGATTCAGGGGAAGTTAGGAAAAGAAATATACAAAATTTACTTGCAGCCCAGAAGTTCATTGAGAAATTACTGGCAACCAAGCAGAAAGTGTCTGCTGGGCCAGGTGTGGTGGTTCATGCCTGTAATCCCAGCACTTTGGGAGGCTGAGGCAGGTGGATCACCTGAGGTCAGGAGTTGGAGACTAGCCTGTCCAATGTGGTGAAACCTCATCTCTACTAAAAATCCAAAAAGAAATTAGCCAGGCATGGTGGTGGGCGCCTGTAATCCCAGGTACTCGGGAGGTTGAGGCAGGAGAATCACTTGAACCCGGGAGGTGGAGGTTGCAGTGAGTCAAGATTGCACCACTACACTCCAGCCTGGATGGCAGAGCAAGACTTTGTCTCAAAAAAAAAAAAAAAAAAGAAAGAATGAAAGAAAGTGTCTGCTGAAGTGTGAAGTCTGTGAACCAAGTGCTGCATGCAGGTTTAGCAGCCGTGCATGTGTGTAGGTACTGAGAGTAGCAAGGAGCTCTGCCCACCAAGTGTGATGCTCCAGAGCCCAGAGACCCTCCTGCAGCTTGAGGGCAGTGAATTCAAAGAATTGCTCAGGGAGGCCCTGAGCAAGCCTGATGCTCTCCCCATGCTGGTGTGGGCCATCATGCTAGAGCAAAGGGCAGATTTCAAATCCCAACACACACAGGATTGGGGAACACTGCGGGGCTGTGGATTTGAAAGCAAGGCCTGCCTTTCTTTCCTTTGTTTCATTGATTTTATTTTAAGGAAATGCAGACAAGTTGGATTTGTGGCTATATACAAGGCTAGGGAAGGAACACGGGGTTCCAGAATCTGACAAAGTCTCTTGAGCCCCTTGAAAGCATTTGAAAGCAGGGCCTGCCTTTCTTTCCTGTGTTTCGTTGATTTTATTTTAAGGAAACGCAGACAAGTTGGATTTGTGGCTATATACAAGGCTAGGGAAGGAACACGGGGTTCCAGAATCTGACAAGATCTCTTGAGCCCCAGCCTGGCTAAGCTGCTTTCCAGGCCACTGTTCAAGGAGGGTGCGAGGGGAGACACACTAGGAACCCTGACGGAAGAAAATCCAAGCTCAGCCAGGGAGGTCACAGAGCACCAAGACCTAGGAGTTGCCTGGGCCAGTCCCACCTGATGCATCAGTGACTAGAAAATCAGGGAGAGCCAATGGTAAGAGTGCTGTTGACTCAATTCCAGATTTCTAAACATCACGTATAGAAAATACTTCATTTTTTCCAGTGATGTTAAGGCCATTTGAAAACACTAAATATAACATACCTACTCAAAGTGAATAATTTTTGTTTTCTTAGTCCTGCCTAGATATTGCTTTTAGGCTTTTCAAGACATATACTTTCTCTAATTCAGTTAACAGGCATTTGCTGTTGCTGTGCTAGATGCGGGGCCACACACAAAAATGAGCAGGACACTGGTTCCTGCCCTTGCAGAGTTCACAAAGGAGAAGATGGAGGCAGATGTGGAGGCAGACAGGATAGGCAGGCACAGTGTGGCAGGTACTGGGATAGGGCATGTGTTTAGGGGTACATCAGAACTGGAGACAAGGGGCCACGTGCAGTGGCTCATGCCTGCAATACCAGCACTTTGGGAGGCCAAGATGGGAGGATCACTGGAGCCCAAGAGTTTGAGACCAGCTTGGGTAACACAGCGAGACTGTCTCTATGAAAAAAATTTTTTAAATGGCTGGGCATGGTAGGGCACACCTGTAGTCCCAGCTACTTGGGAAGGTGAGGTGGGAGGATGGCTTGAGCCCAGGAGGTTGAGGCTGCAGTGAGCTATGGCGGAGCCACTGCACTCCAGCCTGGGCGACAGAGTGAGACCCTAACTCTAAAACAACTTAAGAAACAGAGACGCCGGGCACGATGGCTCACGCCTATAATCCCAGCACTTTGGGAGGCCAAGGCAGGTAGATCACATGAAGTCAGGAGTTTGAGACCAGCCTGGCCAATGTGGTGAAACCCCACCTCTACTAAAAATACAAAAATTAGCCGGGCGTGGTGGCACATGCCTGTAATCCCAGCTACTGAGAAGGCTGAGGCAGGAGAATCGCTTGAATCCAGGAGGCAGAGGTTGCAGTGAGCCAAGATCATGCCACTGCACTCCAGCCTGGGCAACATAGCGAGATTCTGTCTCGAAAAGAAAAGAAAAGGAAGAGAAGGGAAGAGAAAACAGAGACAAGGGAGCAATAATGGCCTCTCCTGAAGGCAACGCTATAGACAAGCACCATTCCAGTAGGACCTAGAGGGTGAGGAGTGCAGAGGGGCTTTCGGAGGAAGGACAGGTTGGAAGTGGGGCAACCTCAGTTGTCAGGGAATCTGCCAGGGCAGGGCGGATGGGAGCTGGTCATGCAAGCCTCATGAGCTTTCTGTTTTGGGAGGCCATTTTGATCTTTCTGTTCTCAAACCCTGGGAGCCAGCACTGGGGCCTAAGAAGGGATGAGACTCTCCAGGTCTGAGATGGAAAAATCACCCTAGAAAAATACCACCTCAGAAAATAAAAAGCAGAAAGCAACTATATTTCAGGTTTGAGAACCTACTTAGAATTTTAAAAGTCATCTTTAAAATATAAGTTTAGAATAATTTATTAGGGTTTTATTATACCTTATTAATTTCTTAGAAACTCTCCCTTAAAATATTTAAGAATGTAGTTATGCATTTGATAATTTTATAACATATTTTCTTATTATCATTTGTTTTAAGTTAGCAAAAGAGCAGAAACACAATGCCACTTGCCATTCCTCACTGGTAACAGCACTACTCTTATTTAACTCTTGGTGCAATTCTTCATTTTCTTTCACCACTTCTTGGACTCGCATCCTAAACATTCTCATTTCCTCCTGAAATAAAACGTACGTAAATTATAACACACACATACCCACGCATCTATATTTCTCAGTTCTGGTGCTGCTGCGGTGACTAAAATCAAATGGTAATAGCCATTTAGCAAGGTCTCACAACGGGCCAGCCTTCAACACTCGGTACCAGCACGAGTGGTGCCTGCTCTCAGGGAGCCTACAGTCTAGTGAGAAAGCACTAGGACCAAAGTACAAGAGGCAAAGAACCTGGGCTTTCAATATCGGATTCCTAATTTGCTAACATTGTTCTCTAACTGCCAAATACTGATAGAAAAGGCAGAGATGCCCATCAACACTGACATTTTTCCTTTGTTTAAAGATGCAGGATAATAAACTAGAGGTTTTTAATACAAAAAATAACACCTTTTCATCCTTAATTAAAGCTAGATTTGGTGGGGAAGGGGTTAGTTAGTGTGGGAGTTGGAGGAAGCTCTTAATTTTTTTTTTTTTTTTTTTTTTTGAGACAGGGTCTTGCTCCGTCGCCCAGGCTAGAGTGCAGTAGTGCAATCATAGCTCACTGCAGCCTCAACCTCCTAGGCTCAAGTGATCCTCCCACCTCAGCTTACCAAGTACCTGTGCCACCATGCCTGGCTAATTTTTGTATTTTGTGTATAGACAAGGTTTTGCCATGTTACTCAAGGCTGCTCTTGAACTCCTAGGCTCAAGCAATCTTCCTGCCTCAGCCTCCCAAAATGCTGGAATTACAGGCATGAGCCACCACATCCAGCCAAGGCTATTAGTTTTGTCCATGACAACCATGAGAAAGTGTCTTACTAGCATCATCAGTCTGCAGAGCTTAATTGGCCATTAGCCGCAACACGAGGTCTGTCGCTGGGCCGGTTTTGATGCCTAACAGTCTATGTCTGTTTCAGCTCCCAACAGTCTGTGTGTGTGACACTTCAGCTGAACCTCCGCCATCAGGGCTTTTCCAGTTTCTGTGTCCTGCACTGTCCTTT